TCCGAAGGGCGCGGGTGGCTTCGCCACCGGGCCGGAGCGGAGGAGAATAAATGGCTAAGAGAGCAGGGGGTTGGGAATAGTAAAGGCAGCGCACTCAGAGGAGACCTCTGCTGTGTGACTTTGCCGTGTGGTGTCGTTGTAAGGTCCTTGGTTTTCTCTTCTCCTTCGCGCCGCGCCAGGGCCTTGCCCGCGAGTCGTTACAAATCGCGTGCCGGTCGTGGTTTAGCATGGGAGCAAGTTGAATATGATAGACGGATTTTTGCGGTCGCCAGCGATGCAGGAAGGCCACGTATCGATCTCGCTTTGGCGATATGTTGGATGGGGCGATGGGGGCGTGGTTGAGCTTCAGCTTGCAGTGCTGTATGATTTTGTCGGTGGTGGTACAGTGGATCTGGGGAATGTTCGGTGCTGGTGCCGATTGTATGGGAGTTAGTGTATCGACCCGCAATTTAATATTAATGGATGGAGGTGCTCTGTTGGCGATGAAGTACGAACGGGTTCAGATGGGAGGATGGTATTGTGTTTGTGGAGTGGAACTTTTGAGTTTTGGTTTAGGGAGAGGGATTGTGTGCGCAGCTCTTACTCGTGAAATATGGGTCGAATGCGATTCATAAGCTTTTATTTCGGAGTTCCACGGAGCGGTTGCAATGGAAGTAACGCGAGAGGTCTTGTCGAAGAGGTATGTAGCTTGTGGTTTGAAAAGGATGTTTCCATGGTACGTGGAGATAGATAGGACAGAGAGTAGGTTGATTGTTCTGCTGGGTTTCAAGACGGCTGTAACCTTGAGAGGATGGACTTTATTCGTCTGTATGGCGGTGTTTCCGACGTGTGTACAAGGAACCGTATGGTTAATCGCAGTTTAGATTTTGTGGAGGACAGGTCGAGGTTTTTGGGATTGATGAGAGTTCTTCTCATATGTGATGTCTGTGCTTCCGAGTCCAGGATATACTTACAATGATCTTCGTGTGGGATGTAATATTAGGTGGCGGGGTGCTATATTCCAGAGTCGCTTTGGTTTTCAATATGGCTTTGTGCTAGACGTGCCGTATGGAATGGTTTCGATCCCGATGAACGAATTGTCGTACGGTGAAGCGGAATCGTTGCGTGGTTGCATTCTAAGTCCGTATGTCTGGGGCGGGTAACACCTCTAGACATGTGAAAACGGAATGGATTTTTCGGGATGGGTATGTATTTGGGGCTGCATAGGGCGCGGAGATACCATGGTGTGAAGGAAGATGTGTACCGGATTGGATGTGAGGTTCCTAGATCTCCATGGTTGTGGACGGGTCTAGAGAGTGTCGGCTGCCGGTATAGGTCAAATCAGTTGAACTTGTGCACGAAATCTTTCCTCTCTTTGGGATCGAGGGCGATCAGGTGACTGCCGATTTTGACAGTGGCGGGGTTGAACCGCAATCCATCAATTAAAAACTCGACGGGGTTTAGAGGTCGGATATATCTGGGAAAGTGGCTGCTATCATTTTTGTGCGCGTCTGCTCGTGAGCTGCGATTTATTGCTGTAAGGTCATATCGGGAAAGAAGTGCGTTTGCTCTTCGAGTTGCTTCAGATAATTGTGATCTGATGCATGTTTCGTGTCAATATGTCAAGTAACGGACTATATCAGGTCGTGGGGAGTTGAGTCGGTAGTTGGATTCAAGATGAGAATGGCTATTTCTGATAGAATTGACGAGATCAATGTTCCGAGAAGGGATTTCTTGCTTCTTTGAATGGATGTCATTGCGGTGGGGTCTTGTGGAGGGTGGGGTTCCTTGTGATGCATTCTATGGATCCTTCGGTCTTTGAAGCCGCTCGTGTTGCGACAATTCATGTTCTAAAGTTTGTGGGATCGATATGCGGAATGTGTGGTCGTTTTCTATTGTTTGGATTATTTTCGATGGGGGGTTTTGGGGTTTCGTCGCAGTGTTGTCGTATTTGGGTTGTGTCTGGTGAGGTTGCGTGATTTGATGGTGGTGCCGTGTATGTCACGGTAAGGGTATAGTGTAGCCTGGGGCTCCTTTGCGGTGCGACGGATCGGTTGATTCTGGTCGTGGTGGGGAGTGTTGGTGATGTCGGTTGAGTGCTGTCGTGTTATGCGGGGAGGCAGGGTAGCGAGATGTGCCCATAATCAGTGTCAACTGGAGATCAATGAATAGTTTTTACTCGTCGTTGCTTGTTGTTAAAGGGTGTTGCTTGCGAAACAGACTGTCTTGTGCGGTCTGACAGATCAGAGACTTTTTTGAAGCCTCTCCTTTCCTGAAGTCAGCAAAAAAGAAAGGAGTACCTCTCTCTAGCGCTCGATTTGGGACCCGGAGCGCTCTCAAAAATGCAGGATTTCAAACATATATTCCATGAATATTGACAACTTCATGACAAGTGCAAAAGAAAGCTTTGTCCGAAGGGCTTAAATCTGGACACCCGCGTGGCAAGACACTTCACTTGGTATCGGAAGAGAAAGTTGCATAAGGGCTGGAACAGCCTCTTGGCGGAAGGCAGATCCGTTGACTGTAGCTTTGCGCGACTTGCGTGCGCATAACGGGCTTTACCACTGGCCTATGGGTAGATCTTCCGAAACTGACGCAAAGCGATCCTCGACCATGAATGTCGATGAATTGGCATTAGAAGGCATGGTATTCTCTTATTCGATGCTTTGAGAATATGTCATCTCACCCTTCAGTAGGCTTGATATCCTTTTCTGGGTTTACATGAGTGGTTGGATATTTTTGCTCGACAATTTTCCGGAAATGGTCCGTTATCAAATATGTTGCCTCTTTATCAGCTGCTACTGTCCAATTTGGAAACTTATACCGCGTCTGAGATATCTGTGAACCGTTGGACTCCTTAAGAATACTATTCGTGAAGTACTTCGAATTACTGAGAAGAGAAATTTCCGCAAGGGCGTTCGGGGGTGGCAATGTTTTCTCATAGACCTGTTTCAGGCTATCCATCTGCCTCCTATCTGCAGTTTTCTCTCCCTCGTCTGTAATTGCTGCATACCGAATTTGTCCATGTTTGTATTGGCAGGAAGACGGACGATTTCCAAGTTGTTTTTTGCACTGTACTGGGGTCGTTCCAAAGCATTAAGAGATACGTGACCGCCCAGCACAATCAAAAGTGCTTTATAAGGACTACACTGCTCTCCAATGAAGTTTTACACGCTGTACTGCATCCTTTACGGTATTTTCATCAATAGACCTCTTTTTGTGACACATATTTGTGTTTCCAGAGGGCATGAATATAGTTTTGTGAGCCATTGAAACGTGTCTGACACATATGAAAAGTCTTTTTCCTGAATCACCTCTAACCACCTCAAATTATTTTTGTTGAACTCAATTAAAGAACGCAGCGCAAGAAAACTTGAAGCGTACCGGCCGCAACTTCCTTACTTGATCTTTGACGACAGGATGCCCTCTGACATGCTGTGATGATGCGGGCGTGGTGGTTTGGATCGGACCTTGAAGTTCTGCAAGGAGGCTGGTCGCATCCTAATTATCAAATACATTTGGGTCCTCAAATATGTCTGGGTGCTTTTTACCAATTCGACCAAGTAGTTTTGGTAACGTGGCTACAAAGGCGATGTTTGACGCTCCGACACGTGCATCAGTAATGTTTTAATGTTTGTAATACGTGAAAGATCTGTTTCGAGCATGCAATGATCGAATTGCGGCCAAAGATGGTTCATTTCTGCAAAAATGACGACGTTTGTCGTTTGACATTTTGGCTTGTATGCGTTCTATAGTACGTATTTGAATTGAAAATCCAGTCCGGGAAGCATCGATATCTCTGTTGCATGAAATATTCTTCTGCATCATGCAGTACTTTTTTGCGTCATGCGAAGTGATGAAGGCGATCAAGCAATTTTTCTAGTGCCCCCTGCCGACCCCCTCCATAGACAATATTTATGCGCTGTACGGATAATGCTTGATGCTGGAGATGCTGGACGTATCACGAATGCTGCCAAGTGTTTTGAGTAGCTCAAGGAATACCTCTCCCCTTTTTGTCTCATCTTTGCTTCTCTGCGTCTGCCGTTTGAATGCTGCGGCTTGAGGCCGTATTGAGGGGGGGCACTTACCAAGTAAACTTTCTGTTGGTCATGTCTTCACAAGGCGGGGAAAAGAGATGTGACAGAATGGTACGTTTCGGCGCAATCTGAACTCTGCTTCCCTGTTGATATGAGAGAAAACATGAAAAGACTTTTTGAAAAGTGGTTTCCCAAATTAAGCCGCTTAGAGCACCCCTATCGGTGCTGTGTATATGTAAATATTTTGGCATATAGAGATACATATAGCCTCTTTCATCCCTATCGGACTGGTTATCTCCAAAAATTTGGCATTTTTGGCTATATCTATCTCTATATTGGAAGCCGGATGGCGACAAATTTACTCATTTGACCATATAGAGACGCGAATTACATGGCGCCACTTGGCCAAAAGACCATAGAACAGTGTCAATACAGTACCTCTCGTACTCGATGCCTCGCACCCCTCGTACACTATGCCCTTTCAAGGCACTTCAATTTCAAATTTACTCCTAAACCGATAGTGTTGCGCACAGAAATGCTATATGCAAACGCAAAATTTTACACATTTAGCCACCAAATTTAGCCAAACCGATAGGGGTGCTCTTAGAACGGTACCAATTTGTGCACCCTCTCAACGGTGCCCTTTTCGGTTCTGCACGAGGGTGCAGTAGTTAGTGTACACGTAGTTGTCTGTAAGTGATGGTTGCAGGTCCCATTCTTTGCGATGCACGCATCGCGAGTCCTAGACGTTTCCGCGGAAAGAAAAAGGAAACAAAAAGAAAGGTTTCTATTGCAATTCCTGAAAAAGATTGAATACATTACAGTATTGGGGTGTGACTGTACAGTATAAACCTTTCGGGCCGGTTGGCGCCAAGACTTGGGTTCAACTTATGACCTGAACAGTATGCAAGGGTATTGTTGCAGGTTGGTCTCCCGCAAGCGCGTATAGCAGAACAGCCGCCGCGAGCTCAGTAGCACTCTCGATTCTGTAGTACAAACAAAACAGCACGTAGTTTAACATTAGAGTAGTTACCACGCGACAGCACAATCGGTAGCGACACAGTCATGCAGCGACGATGGCAACAGCGACAAACCAGTCACACAGCCGTCACAGTCGCGGCAACGGATCAGTTGCCTCTTTCTCAACACCCCCTGATGTTGATGATGTCCTCTATTTTCCTGTGGGTGTTTTCCTCTCTTAAATGGACGCGAGGCTGCTCCAATTCTACACTCTCCCAGGTCCGACGCCCCTTCACGCTCTGCATTCCCTTTTGACCCGATGCTCACACGCTCATTCATCCCGACACCGACACTCCTCACACACGACCGCTGAAACCTCTTTGTTACTCCCACGCCCGTCCCTCGGTGCTTCGTACGCGCCCGATCGCTGTAGCGGCTGACGAGTTCAATTCGAGATGTACCGACATTGGCCTGCGGCCTGCGGACAGGGCGTTTTGGTATGAAATCGGGACACCTGCCGCGCAGTGTAAGCTCACTGCCACGACACAGACGGTGTAAGCCTTCCATAGACCGCCCGGCATGCGCAATTGCAAAAGTACACCGCTGCGAACAGCCGTTTGGACAGCATCACCCCGTTCCCCTCACAAAGAGAAGTGAGAAAAAAAAGAAACAGAAAAGAAAAATTTATTACAGAAAGAAAAAGTTCAGCACCAACCCGTTCCCCTCACACCCCGTTCCCCAAAAAAAAGAAACAGAAAAGAAAAGTTTATTACAGAAAAAAAATTCAGCACCACCACGTTCCCCTCACACCCCGTTCCCCTCATAAGGAGAAGTGAACACGTGTACTTTACTACTTTACAGAAGAAAGAAAAGTTCAGCACCACCCCGTCCCCCTCATAACCGCGATTTCGGGTTGTTTTTTCATTTTTGCTTTTTGCTTGTTTATTCATGCAGAAACTGAGAAACTTCATGATTCTTCATGAAGAAACGACTTCAGACAATGGTAGCCACGACTTACACGTTACATCGCCATGATGGAGATGGGCTACAGGGACCCTAGGAAGGCATGGGGGATCTCGATTTCGATGGTTGATCGCGATTATCGGTGGGTCGCCTGAAGAAGGCCGAAGTGGTGATTTTTTCATTTTGCAGCATTATCTGGCAGTTTTTGCGCGCAATTGCGCGCAAAAACATGATTTAATGAAATCGCGGCCTCATAAGGAGAAGTGAACACGTGTACTTTACAGAAAAAAAGTGAACACGTGTAATAACTAGTCCCCTTTTTTCTTGCTTACACCTAGACAAACGTCTAGGAATACGTGTACAAGATTCTATTTGTGGATTTGCGCAAACTCCGATCTAGATCCGCTTGCGACCAAGAGCCAAGTAATGACGGAGGCAGCTCTCTCATGTTCTTCCGACTTCCTCCAATGTCATTCTGACATCAACCTCAACCAAGCGGTCCACTTTGTCGTGTTTGTCGACGAGATAGAAGCAAATCTCAGGATACAATGAAAATTCGATTAAGGGATCCGTTGCGATAGCTGTGATTGGATGCCAGAGAACAACGACCTCATTTCTATTTCCCAGGTGCACATGCTCCGCAGAATGAAACCCTTCATACTAAGACCAGAGAACCATCAGCTTCAGTACCTTAAGCCTTAATCGTTTTGAGCAATCGCATTGTTTTGCTCATTTTTCTGGTCTATTCTACAACGCTTCAGTTCAGCGCATAGGCGAGTGTGAGTGTTGGAAAAAAGATGGGGATCATGTGTCGTTTGAGGTCACAAGACCCATTTTCAGCCAACGGCCGACAAATTTAGGCAAACTCGTTTTGCTCAGCCCTGGCATGTTTTTTTATTTTTTATTTTGCCTAATGAATACCTGCAGGTGGAAAGTGCTTGCCCAGTATTGTAATGGTATCTTTTTCGTAGCAACGGTGAACGGCAATGTGCTGTAGACCTACTTTGAAATCATCAACTAACATATCTAGCTAGCTTCAAAAGGTCGTTTGCTAAATAAAAATAGCTCTCAGTGTTTTAAATTATGAGTTCAGCCGGTTGGAAATCATGGAGCAAAGGCAGTAACTGTTTACGGACGCATAAATCTGTGGACTAGTTTCGCTCTTCGCAACAAAAGTCAATCTTCACTATTAGTTAGAAGACACCGAATCGAATTATCTGATTGGAAGCAACTCTACATATCTTCCGGGTCACCATGTCTGCCCATCGCACTGATATGCAACCCACAAGCCTCACCGAACCTAACCCAAAGTGCACAGTGTCAAGGTAAGAACCGCCGCCAGCTTGAGCGCCTCGTGACCCCACTCGACGCGTTAATTTCATCCCACGCGTTAGAATTGTCACAACGGCATGAAGAGGTGTGGCTCCTCTCCCTGGGGAATTTCCCACTCTGACATGAAGGTAATTCGTCCTCCTGGTGAGTGTCAAGAAACTCTTCATCAGGCGGTATTGCCCGTCTATCAAATTAATATCCCCATGTCCGACAATGGCATCCAGTCTGCCATCGCGGTTGTAGTCGACAGCAACAGCATGGTTTCCGACCGTTGTTCTGTCCTTCGGAATGAGCCCATTAACACGTATAAATTTTCCATTTCCCTGATTCAACAGGATGATATCGGGCTCTCTGAACTGCACGACAAGCAGGTCAACGAAGCCGTCGTTGTTAAAGTCTCCTGCAGTCACACCAACGCTGTCAGTCCCCTTCGGAATACCAGCCTTCTCGGACACATCGACGTATCTCCCACCGACGTTTCTAAGTAATACATCATTTGTATCTCCGCCTTCCAAAGCTACTCGGTTGGAAACCAACGTTCGGTTCGCTCTGGCGACATACAAATCAAAATTTCCGTCATTATCGAAATCAATTTCTGCCACAGCTGTGTTTCTAAACGACGAATCAGGGTTTTGGAACATTTCGGGCATCACAGCCCTCGAAACATCCCTGAATCGAAACGGTCGTATCATCTTGTACAGCTGCATTTCTCGGATACTGACGATTTCCATTACTCCGTCATTGTCAATGTCCGTTACTTCGACTCGTCCTCGCAATTCTGTTTCGAATCCGGGGATTTTCTGCAGAAAGAATTTGCCGAATCTATTCTCATACGCAAACTGCCGTAGGCCGGATTTCGCTGTTCCGAGGAAACCGACGAAGATTACATCTGGACCTCCACCTTGCTCACGACGCTTCTTCGTGTTCTTGCGTGTAAGATGCGTGAACAGTGTGCTTCTTCCTCTTGCCTTTCTTCGTCCAAGCCCATCTTGGTCCGTGATTTCCGTGAAAGTCCGTGCCGGAGTGACCTGGTATACTAATGGGGCCTTTAGATTCGAACCGGAGCCACCGCCAACCGAAATTGCCATCAATCTGTTTCTCGATTGAGCATTGCGTTGGGCCACATTTACCCCATGCACGTCGAAGAATCTGTGAGTAAAGTTGGAAAGTGTAAAAGTGCCATCTAAGTTTCCAAAAAACACTTGCATTCTGCCTTTGTTGTGGTACGAGAGCATTAGGTCATAGATCCCATCATTGTCAAGGTCTGCGACACAAGGGCCACCGAATTTAAGGCTTGGTTCCCGCGTTATAATTCCAGCCTTCTCGGCGACATCTTCAAACTCGAGGCCAGATCGGCTTAATCGTTGCGCAGTTCCAGTCAGTGACAACAGGCCAAAGAGAACAATCAACAGATGTGGATGACGGCCAGCCATTTTCGGGTGAATGACGATGTTAGTAGTCAAGTAGTTGTGCTGCTCACAGTGATTTTCGCGACTCCTGCCGAACTACCAGAGTTTCGCCAATTGAACATGGGGATTTGGACTGATAAACAACGTGAATGATGAGTGACTCGCTGCTGAGGTGGAGTTCGAGTAGTAGCGCTGAGACAATATATATGAAAACGCGGTGCAAATGGACAGCTGAGAGTGATTGAAGGACTGCCTATGCTGAAACGGTTCACATTCCCTTTGGATGCCTCCCGTAAGAAGCTGGAATTCAACACCACCACCTCTCATGAAAGCGCTACAGGCTCAAACTTGTATTTTCTTCATTTTCGACAATGCATCCTTGGCATATCACATTGATTATTCATACCAAGGGGTTTAGATAGACGTTGTGTTGCTATAATTGACAGGTGCATAGCGATCATAGCTAGACAGAAATACTGAACCATCCTTTGCTTCTCATATTTCGATTCTTGGCAGAGATTAATATATGTACTTTGTCGTGTCGAGACGAACAGGGAGGGTTATGGTTCGAGGTATTTACTGACAAAAATACTTTACATCGAAGTAAGCCTTTCACGAAGTGATACAGACTGCTTTGGAGTCTAGTTTATTCAATTCTTTCAAGGAAATGACACGATTGCCGTGAGCCACCCATGCTATAATACGTTTACTGTGACTATGATACAGTATATCCACAGTGCACGTATAGTCAATTTGCAATTAAACTGGAAAAGAACTCAGTCTGGAGGCATAAGTGATACGGAAAAGTGCTTCTGCAAAACAAATATGACGTGATTGTGAACTTACCCTTCCCTATGTGGCAACGTTGACAAAGTGGTTTCTTCTGATCTTGCCGTAAGGGCTTGGACCGACAGCAAAGTCTATTCTCTTGAGGTGGCAGATGCTCTACGCGAGGCTTCTCTGTCACGAAGCGTATGATACACAGCACGTACGAACTTTATCTGATAGCAAAATATTTTGCAACACTGGATATGTACTGATGATCACTCTAGAGCTTTACTCTTGACATTGTACCGCGCAGCTATTGTGCTGACTCATGGCATACTATCAATATGTTGCTTGCCAACGGCATGACTTGCCCTTGAACAAGAAGTTGGTCGGGAGAGCTTCCGGTCGAATGTGTCGCAAGCTACAGTATATTCGAAAACAGATGCATTTCATTTCTGCGTTACTACCATTTCTCCCATGAGGTACCTAAGACTGTGCTGTCTATGCTGCAGGATGAGAACCCTATAGTGCATCAGCGATGTCGTGCTCTCCCAGATCTTTTATGCACATCAACGGCAGTGTTGCATGTACTGTATATGTTGCATTCAAGAAGCAGAACAAGAAAGGATTTATCGCCTTGTCGCACAAAATTCGATCAGAAGGTAGTGAGATTGTCCAATCGACAAAAATTCAGCTTGGTGGTTATCTAATTGTACCACTCAGAGTTATCCAACGCATATGTGACATGCAAATTCATTGCGTTAAATTTGCCTTCACATGCGGACAACAGAGAGTCAGAACGAGGGGTTTAACCACCTTGAACCAGGACTTGTTCCTACATTTTATTAGACGTGAGAAAGAGTCTAC